TACCGGATTATTCGTGATGTTCCCCGGTCTTTCTAGAACTCATTACGTGTTACCAGCGTCACGTGACTTCCACTGTCATAACACCATCAACAATGGATATGACAAATACATTATGGTTAGAATACTATTATTATACACTCTTCTACTTCTTGAAAATCCCTAAAGAACAAGATTAAGAAGTGTTTAAAAATGTACTGGGCTTAATATTAATTAAAATTGTAATAAGCTAGTGGTTTTGACATAATAAAATGTTTGAATGCCAAAACAAGATAATCTGAAAAAGAATGCAGCTCTTGATAATTAACATTGATAAACTGAACTAAAAATATAAAACAAGTGCTTATTAATAATTGCTGCTAGATAAGTCTTCAAACAAAAATATATGCTTGTTGATTATTATTAACTTTACTGATCATTGATTATGATAGACAGATAACAATGCTATAAATATCAACTACTCATTAATGTATACTTGCCAGCAGCACTGCTTCAGAAACCAGATAATTAATTATTATCATTGTTGATAAATTCTACAAATAATACTGATAAACTGAACTGATGTAGAAACCAACTGTTTGATAACCATTACTGAAATATTACTGATAACTGAACCAAAATACAAACCAACTGTTTTGTTAACTATTCCTAATAAAATGAACTGACAAAGAAACCAACTGTTTTTAACCATTACTGAAATATTACTGATAAAAAAACTGATATAGAAACCAAATGTTTGTCAACCATTACTGAAAGATCTAATTGATACATAAAGCTATAGCTTGGTAATTTTTGCTATAGATCTTTCTATTATGTAAGTATACAGATTCAAATTTAACAAATTAAATGCCTAAACTTGTATACATTCAAAGTGGTAAAATTTAAACAATAATCAGAATGAAGTGTCTGGTGAATAACAACTAATATGATAAACTTGACTTAATGAAATTCACTAAAACCCTAAAATGATTATCTGATTTACTGACATTCACAACAACTAATATAATATACCTGATTTAATGGCATTTACTACAACTAATGTGATATATGTGCTTCACTCACATTCACAAGAAAACTAATATACCTTATTTACTGACTTTCACAGTAACAAATATGATGTACTTGTAATGACATTCATAACAAAAACTAATATGATACTTCTGAGTTACTGACATTCACAACAATATCTGGTTTAGTACAATGCACAACAATAAATAACATATACATATTTATGAAATTACACAAAAATAATTAACATTATGCATTTACATACGTGGTTTATGGCTGAATTACATGCGGTATGTTGTAAGGAATCATCTTGCTGTACAGTGGGAAACCTGTTCATTAAAAAATCTGTAGAATGAAAAAGAATCAAAAATAACTTTTAAATTGTTGTGTATATATTCAACTAGGTTTTCACATATTCATTAACTAAGCTCAAACATTATTTTCACTCAGATTATGAGAAAGTGGTAGTTTAAGAACAAAAAATATATAAAAACCCGATTAAAAAATATATCACATAGCATAAATATCTAACAGCAGGATGTTAAAATATTATTCTTTTAAGTACATTTTCAATTTTATAATTTAGTTGTTTACTAGAGGGAGCTGCTTACCATGATTACAATGCTAATCCATAAAATTCTTTAAAAAGTCCTGGAATACTTAGAAAGTTCAGATTATTACATCAATCTAGAAATGTCATGGAATTTGGAGAAATGAATAATCAGTGTGTGACTGAATATTCAGTCAGTGACAGAAAAGCTGTTCACAGTACAGTTAAAAGTGATACGCATCTTGTCTATTAGTAAGGAAATTTTGTAAGTTTATTTGTGAGTTAGGTGTGATTACCATAGTCTCGGAATTTCTCTTGAAACATTGTGCACTTAAATCTACAACTACAAGTGAAAGTAGCCTGTAGCAAATATTAAAGAAAAAATATACTAATTTGTTATTGTTACATGAACTGGATATCACATTGATAGAATGATAGAACACCTTACAACACTAGAGTCAGGAGCTGGATTATTTTGGTGAAAATAAAATAGAACTTTTACTAAACTTCAGCTTTTGAGATAACCACACAGGTACATAGCAAGATAGGAAACCTGCCAGAGATAACACAACAATGGAAAGTAGATCAAAATGAAAGAGACAGAAAATTAGAAGAACAAGACAGGAAAATAAAAAATTAACTAAGAAGAAAGAGTAAAAAATTAAAAGAAGATCAACAAGAAAGAGAAACCAAAATAAAATAAGAACAAGTTCAAAACAGCTGAAAGAAGAGTAAGAGACAGGAATTTAAGAGAGGAGTTAAGAGAAAGAGACTTAATATTTAAAGAAGAATTAAGAACAAGAATAAACCTGACTGAAGACAAGATCAATGAAGCTATAGAGATGTACAGAGAGATTATAACAACAACACTGAAGAAGTACAAAAGGACTCTACTTACAAAATTGGAAAAGTGCAAGAAGACAACAATGAAGCAAATAAAGGCTGTAATGACAAAATTGAAGAAGTACAAAAAAGAAATCAATGACAGAATAAAGCATTTGAGAAAATGAACTGGTAAATGCAAAGCACAAACCAGCTACATCTCTTTCTGCATCCACCCAAGAATTCCAACCTAAAACACAGTTTACTAATAAATATGGAATAGGAAAATCTATATGGTCTACACCTATTACTACTAATGCTGTGCCAATTGTGACTGCAGGACTTTCCTGGACTACTGCAGCCACTTCACTACCAAATTCAGTTCCAGAACTTAGCTGGCTAATTCTATAGGATTGCCCAATTAAAAAATCAATGGACTATGATAGAAAGGTACCATGGGAGGCATATAAGGCTCAGTTCAAAATAATTTTCAGAGTGAATGAGTGGAACAGTGAACAACAAGGTATTCATCATGCTGCCCATTAAAAGAGTCAGCTTTAACAACGTATAGCTAAGAGCCATAACAACTACCAAGCATTGATATTGCTATCTGCCTCATTATAAGTTGTAAATCACTCTGGGAATGTGCAGGTCACATTACGCTACCAAATTACATTGCCCATGAGCTACTCGCTTGTATGCCTCATGAGCTATTTTAATTATATTATCATTATTACTTATTTTACCTAATCTGGTCATAAATAACTTAAAAAAAAATCTGTATTTTTAGATTGTAGTTACTTTTATAATAATAAATAAAGAATAAATATAAAAAACAAGAAATAAAGTACTTACCCAATCTTCTTTTTTCTTGCTCTTTATTGTAAAGGACAGTTAAGCCTAATTTTTTATAGTAATGATAGTAATGCACTTAATAATCTTTATTTAATTAAATAATGCACCAAAAAATATATACTAATAACATGCAAAAAGTAGACAAATTCCCTTACCTCTCAAAATTTTTCTGGCTTTCTATGCGACAAGAGCCGTTACAAATTCATCTAAGCTAGTCGTTAACTCTCCCACTGGAATGAATCTTGAACACTGAGTGAAACTAATGATATTCTGTTCAGAACACAATTTTATACAATACGTCATTTGATAGATGCAAACCTTGACTTTATATTGGTTATAGATAATATATAATGAAACGTAAGAGAGAACTATCAACGAATTGTGAAAGAAAGAAGATGTGACAGGTGGGTGTAGCAGGAGGTGGTCTAATTTTCCATTCGATAACTCTGTAATCCAACAAAATTAAAGACTATAAAAATTATGGTTTCTCTGAGCAATAACGATTTTATAGAGAGTAATTTACATATAATTTCATACTTTTTCAAGGAGTGGTGGATAAAATAGGGATGATGACATGCCAAGAGAAAATGTGGGTCACACTAGTAGAAATTCAGGATTGTTTTAAATATTGCCTTGTAGAATTAAGAACTTAAACTTATATACTATTAAAATATGGATTATTAGCTAAGATTTTATGCTTTTCTAATTGGTATAACATAAACAAAAAGTAGTTTGATAAAATTTTGAATGTAAGACATTAAAACCTTGTGTCATGTGCAGTAAAGGATACTCAGGCAATTGGGTTAAAACACGCTTGTTGAAATGTTGTATATTTGTTACTGTTACTTCAAATAAAGTTTCTTTCATTACTCATTCAAGCTGTTTATTTTTTAAAAGTGGGTTCTATGTCAAATTCCATGTAAAATGTCTTTTAACTCATCAGAAACCAAAGCAAAAATTACCGAAAGTTATTTATAGCACTTCCAATATCAGACTCACTTCAGCAATTATCAATTCCTGCAACGTATGTTATGATTATTTTAACAGTGATTACAAATATGGTGAAGAGACAATATGCACTTTTGAAATTATTTCAGTCTTGAAAATTGAAAGACATAGGTACTTGGGATTACGAAATGTATATTAATTACATTTTGATTATGTTTGTTACTAACTATGACTAATCAAGTTTTATAATGAATTAATGTTGTTAGGGTTTTATTGTGTCCATGGGTCTGAGAAGTATTAAGAGTTCCAAAATAAATGTGATCAATACACCCTATATGCCATGATCTCATCTGTTTAATAATACACTTGTAGACCAGAGCTAATATGGATGTGACATACTCTTAAGATATTTTATTTAACCCATGCTCAATATGATTTTAAAGTGTGCAAAAAAATAATAAATATTTGAATGATCTAATTAGATTTACTTGTAGTTCTGTAGTAAAAATTATTACAAAATATTACATTGTCACACTAAATATCCTCAAGATAAAATGGTAGCCCCAAGACCCCCCCTAACCTGCTGGGTACCTTCTAACTGATTTTACATTGAAAGCTCCAGTGTTGTATTTATGTACATAACTATGTGGATTCATTAAAATACACACTTTAAACGGACTTATGAGACAGTCCTGCAGTGAAGACGACGAAGTTTGTTGTGTCAGATAAATGATATAAAACAGTGTATTGGGTAATATAACTGAGGTACTCGACTTATGAGACAGTCCTGCAGTGAAGAGGGTTTTGTTTTTAATATATTGAAATTATGTAATAACTGATGTTACTTCTGTTGACAGCTGGCAAAGTTGGAAATGCAGACTTCATTCAGCCAGGTCTTGTACAGCTCCAGCCGTCATTTGATGACATTATGGACACATTTGATCCTATAGAAGGTAGCATTCTATATTAAAACTAGTACCTCAGTTATATTACCCAATACACTGAAAATGTTCTATATCATTTATCTGACACAACAAACTTCTTCACTTAACCATGTTTTATTTCTGTCAGCAAAGATATAGATTATTTCAAAAATTGCTGGAAGAACCATAAAAATATTAGAATAAATAATGTTTCTTAATATTTTACAAAAGTAACGTACACATGTAACTTTCTCCTTTCTTTCACTGACTTATTTTCTAACACTTGATACAAAATAATCAAAACTATAGACTTCAGATATCATTTTTTCCCTAAATTAATATCAGCAGCTGACACTTATTAATATATTATATTTTTACTTTAACACAACTGCATAGTTTTTAATCATACTTTACAAATTTACAGATAAAAGGATAATATGAAAATCATATTATTGTTTGTACTGTCAAATGTTTATTGATAGAAATTAACTCATTCATCCTTGTCTTTATAGTTAGAGTACCATGTTATCGATTAAATAGTCTCACCCCAAAAAAATAAATTTTTGTCAACACAATGGTACATTACTACATTTTTCAAAATATTTAACACTGTTTATAAGTTTCTTGAAGAAGTGAAACCAAGCAGGATTCATACCATTGCTTATAGAATGATACAGACATAGACTGGTAATAATAAAAAACTTAAGCATCTACAAAAATTAAATAATAATTATAAGTCATTCTGATGAGACTTTGAAATAGAAATTAACTTACTCTCCAAGTAAAAAATGCAAATATTTTGTTAATTACCAATTTCTCGAGGATTAGGCAAGTCAAATGGTTGATTATGATGAAGACAACTAAAGAGAGTATCACTGAACTCCATTAATAAGTCATCATCAATGGTAAAACATCCAAGTCCTTCATCTCTAGATGAGTCATCCTCAACCTCTAGGGAGTGCTAAGTATAAAAATATTGTACATAGATATAACTTTCTTGTATCTTAGATGAAGACACTTTAAAACCATCAGTTTCTCGGCTAATTAAATACAGTTAAAGAATTCCTTCCTTTGTTGTAAGTGCTATTTAATTGCTACTCCTACTAATAAATTTGTTTATATGTATTATGTAAAACTACATTTAAACTTCTATACAAGTCTTATCGGTGATAAGCAAGGAATATTGGATTTTATTACTTTACTGGCTCAATGTTGACAGGCATCACAAAAAATTTACTGAAATGCTTTTTGTAGAGCTTGAATACATATGTATTAATATGGATTATTTTATGTTTGTTTTTTAAATTTGTTTTGGAATTAATTTTCTTAGCTATTTAATCTGGTTATTTCTAATCCTTTGTTTGATTCTTTTTTAATTCATAAAATTCAAAAACTTTTTTACTTCGAGACTTGCAGTTTTTTGTTTTTCTATGTTTACACTTTAACAACTAGGTTTGTAAGTTGTCCTTGTTTTTTCTCCCTTTCTAGTTTAGTGTAAAAAGCCTCCAAGTAAGAGTGAGTGATGCTTGTTGGGATATGAAAATATTTCTTTAAGAGATTAACTGAGGATGTATGGCTGTCAGTGTTAAAGAGCCAATTACAAAAAAGTACAACAAATTATTACATAATAGAAATTCAATCTAAAATTATAATTAGCAGACTCTTAGATGTTTTACTGACTTAATGAATTTACAATAGAGAAGGTCAACCAAGATTCAAGAAATTTTGAGTCAGTTGAGATTTTGTGTTGTAAAGGCACTTACATTAAGTGAGTATACTTTTGATTCTTTTGAAATTCAGAGAAATGACTTCAATTCAGAGGTAGTACAGGTTGGAAAAAAATAAAATATTCACAATGCTCGTTGGTTGACTTTATTTCAATTCATGACTGACCCATAAATTATGCACACTTATTAGCATTAAAATCAACAAATTACATGTGAAAAATAGAATCCAGAACTGTACAAATATTATAATTAGCCCCCATGCAGTTTGAAATGCCCACAGGGGCATTAATTAGGGGCAAAACGATATCTATATTTTATGCTATGTACTGAAGAAATAGCAAAAAATAAACCATAAAGGATTTTCGGTATAAAGATAATACTTGGCACTTCTCTACATGAGCATTCAGTGGAAATAAATAAAAAATTTTGTGTGTTTATATTTCTTCTTTTTTGTGGTAATAAAAGTGCATTATTTATAGGATTACTACTGTTGTCATACAAGGTAAGCTTTGTAAAAATACCAGGGGGGAGGAAATAATTAGAGAGGGGGCATTAATTAGGTGCAATACGGTATGAAACTCTCTGTTTAATAACAAATGTGGAAGTAATTTTTTATTCATTTTATTCCTGTTTGTTTTCTTTATCTTCAACTCTTATATCATGTGCAAAAAATTTTTGAAACATTAAACAAATAACTAGGGCTTTAATAGATTTATACATGTAAATGCTTACTTTTCATTTTTTGTCCTTAACATTTATAAAATCGCTAAATAGTTCAATTACGAGAAAAAAAGTGTCGAGATCTTCCAATTATACCTTGTCAGAGTAATGAATACAAAAGGAAATATAAAGGAAATGACATGAAACCAATTTTTAAAGTTGAAAATATTACAACTGAAAAGAAATATCTGGTTTTGATCATTTTGAAAACATTAAAAAAAAAGCTTTTAACTGCAATTTTAATGTTTCTTTTTCTATAATGTTTTGTATCTAATCAGTCAGTAGAGAGGCTTTTTGTTTCATTCATCCATTTGACTTTGAGAGCTATGAGTACAGCTTGGCAATCTTATTATCCTTGCTCCTAAAAGGGGGCGAGGGTATTGAAATCAGGTCTATGCGTGTTTGTTTGTATTTGCACGCACATATCTCAATTAATAATAGACCGATGTATATGAGAATTTTACACACGATAGTAACTCCTCCCAAACTTTGGTCCAGATCCAAATTTGGATTCTGGATCACTTTGAAGCATTTTTTATAATGGGGAGATGGGGCATTTTTTAATAACTCTGTCAAATGTGATTGGATTTGTACCAAAGTTCATGGGCACATTACGGTTGAGGCTCCTAATCACACAACCAAAAATAATCCAGATTGTTGATCATTCTGGATCGGAGAAGGACTTTCTGAGTTTTCGAGGGGAAGAATTTGACGTTATCCAATATAAACGCATGAAATCTTGAAAAGGAGCAGCAAGGCGAGGGTATACAATCTATCTGGTTGCTCTTGTTTGAGTTGAAACTGTCAAAGTAAATGACAAATCTGCATCAATACCTTTTACTGTTCTGTTTGTTTGACATGATTTAAAAGAAATGATTGGTCCATTTAAAAGGAATATTCTGGAATTGATCTTTAAAATTCAAATTCATGAAACATTTTAAGCATTATTCATTTCCACAACCAGGAAGACTTTTGTGAAGATGAACCAGAGATATGAATGACATACATCAAAATTATCTTGAAAGTATATTAAATTATAAGAGTAATTTATCCGAGTAATTGTATCTTGTCCACTAACACGTATAGATTGCAAATACTAGTCAAAATGACATCTACTTTTCAAATATATTTTGTATAAGACTACTTCAGAAAAAGTTTGAACTTTAACAAATTATTGAAAATGTACATAACAGTACTTTATTTTACATGATTATCTGAAAAATCACATTTCTGTTTAAATTTAAAAAGCTTAGGGTTACTCTTATGCATAGACCAGTTTTATAAACCCATAAAAAGTATGTAACTTTTGAAAAATTAAAATCAATTTAACAATTTTCAATTTTTTCCTTTTAAAACAGTTTTGTCTAATAGCACTTGTGTAAACATTTAGTAATACTGAAGCTCTAAAAACAACCTTATCTCAGAAAACTCGCATGTCAACTGGCCATGTTATATATATACTTAAGCAGTAAGAAATGGGTTGATGTTCATATTAATATTTTTGCAATCCAATACCTCGCTCAGGGTTGCAAACTACCCAGAAAAGGTTCACATGTATAATGATTTTTGAAGTTTCTATAAACATATTTAAAATAAATGATCTCTTATACTGCCCTACTTGTATTGTAAAATACACACATACAGACACAGGGCAATATATTTATAAAACTAATATTCACCAAAATGTTTCCCTCAAGTTGGATTGGGTAACATTATATATCACAAACCTAGTTAAATTAACAGTTTGACATAGCTGGTGATAGCAGATAATCTATTATACAATGTGAGTAAAAATTCACGTAACATGTACACCCAAAATGATAAATAACCACTTAGAAAAGTATGATTTCACAAACTATGGAAATTTTTGGAATGTACGATCATAAATGTAGCAAAAAAATTCCAAACACATTTTAACTTACGGTTACTCTGTCGGGGTCTCTCTGATGTTTCCCCATCTGTTTGAAAAACAACCTCCATTTCATATATTCTGCTATTACAGAAGTCAAGTTTCTCTTCCAATACTTTCCTTCCATGACAACTGCCTAGAAACAATAATACTATAACTCCATGTCTAATCTAACATGTTACTCATTAACCTAAAATAAATATTAACTCCACAATAATGGAAAAATACCAAATTTATATGGATACTAGTTTTGACATTTTCACATGTCTTCTTCAGTCCAATGTATATTTTAGTGACTTCACATGGTATGATGTATTAAACTACAATCACTCATTAACATTTAGATAATTAGACAAAATTAACTTGTTTCTAGTCGCCCACTAGATACTTTGTAACACAACAAAGTTAATCATTAACTCTTTTTTATCAAAATACCTAGAGAGATTTCAAACAGCTTACTATGCTATTACTACTTTTAACTAATGCTTTAGCCAAAACAATTTTTCTGAGAAGTAAATTATCAGAAGCTATATAGCTTACTCTTAACAAAAATAACTGATTTAAACAGGGGTGATTACTTGTACATAAACATTTTGAAACATACAAAAAAAGGTGTTAAAATAATAGCAACCACACATGTAATTCATATCAAATAATCATTCATTTTAATTAACAAGACTGATAAAAAAGTGCTAAAGCATGAATAAGAAACATATTTTATCGCTTGGATCAAAAATTAAATGTAGGTGTTACAAGTTTAGAAAACGAAACACAAGAGTTATAGGAAATAAAATAATTAAAAGGTCAAAATTTAATTAAAGATACTTTGATTACAAATAATTAGGTAAAAAATATTGTCATTGAGAAAACAAGGAATAAAAAAACCTTGTAAACATACAATTGTTCTTACAGTTTCTTTTCTTTTTAACTATATCAACTATCAAAGAAAACACAAGAACATACCAAATTAATGTCAAAATATGTTTAAACAGAGTTCCAAATAAGCTAAATCTTGCATATATTTTTCATGAAAAGTTACATTACACTTATGAAATATATGAAATTTATTATAACTCTGGAGATGTTAACATGTCTGTAGCTACATACAAGTGGTGCAATGCTGATACTTTTTCAAATATCACAAACTAAAGCTTTCATGCATTTCCACGGGACTGGAGAAACTGCAAATTTTTCCAAACATAATATTTTACATTTTTAGAATTAAAATGAATTTCAAAGAGGTAACTCTGAAATATTGAAAGCCTTTCATTTTTGAGTTTGAACTAATGCTGCCAATGAAACAAGAGAGGCAAAATTTCTGAATTTATGTCCTTTATGTGTTGCAAAGTATATAATTCATAATTCTCCACTCTCCAACACGATTTACTTCGCATGTGTCAGGGGATCTTACAAAACCTCTGCTGTACTGCCATAACTTAGATTTGTTTTTATGTTACAGTTGTGATGAAAATTTGGTTGTAGGAAGGTATTTGAGTGGTAAGTATATGTTTGAAATTCATTTTAATTTCAAAAAATTTAAATCAAGTACACTTATCTCTGAAATACTGAAAGCCAGAATACCCACATTTTAAAGGAAGAGGGAACTGATAAACTACAAGCTACAAAAAACAATATGTAGCCAAGCAAAGTTGGAGTAGAATCCAGAGTCACCAACAAATTCACAGAAATGGATTCAAGGAAGAATGAGTGGAATGAACCAGCCTTACAAAATGACTGGATACTCTGAAAGAAGGCATTCTTCTTAACAGGGTACCACTTTGCCCATGAAACCATTTTTATTCAGGTAAAGGGGTCAGCTTTGTAAGCAATAATGGTGAACTGAGCCTGTGGGTGGGTGAAGAGTGCCTCAAACAGTGTTGATCCAAACTCCAAGATGTACTACGAGATAGTGGGTGGGCACAAGCTGAGAATTGGACTTGTGAACAATCCAACACAAGTTTGAGTCAGTACCTGATGATACGAATGAGATAGTATAATCCACATTGTCCAAAAATGATTAAAATTGATATGCAGAGTGTGTATAAGATCAGCAAAAGCTTTGATATAGGGAGTAGGAGCCAGACCAAAAGGAATGGCTTTGAACTGATAAACTAGTTCCTGGCGTATAAAATGAAGAAAGAGACAACAAGAATTATGAACAGGAGTGTATAGATATCTTTGATATCTGCTTGTTTGTAATCCAACAATCTTGATGAAGGGACTTACCTAAGATTTGTATAGGTTTCAACATGAAAGAATGTTGAGATAATGTTTAATATGGAAAAGATCTAATATGGGCCTCTAATCTCCTATTTTCTTTGGCACTACAGAAAGACAAGAATAAAACCTCAGAGATACTGAAGGTACCTCTTTGAGAGCCCCTGCAAACAAAAGATGTAAAACTCCCTGATCCAACAGCTGAACATGAAGTGGATCATATGGAAAGGAAAAACAAAAGTAGAAGATTCAAGAAATTAGAAAGTTGATGAGAGTGGTTAAAAAACCAAATCAAAGAACCTATTGAATCCAACTGTTGTGAAGCCAAGAATTCCAGAGATTAACTGCAAGATCCTAAATAGTTCCCCAAAAAATGGAGAAGAGGAGCCACCAGAAAAGGAAGAAAGTCATCATCTGGATCGAGATGGCCCCCAACCTGTTTGTATCACAATTTTGCAAAATGAAATGAAAAAGAACATTAATAATAGAAGGCTAAGAAGTAGCAGCTGCTCAAGTGGAAAATGCTGGACAACAACCAGTACTTGGATGTTAAACAGTTAAATGACAGCCTGAAGTAACACGTGAAGCCAGAGCACTAATCAGCTCCTGCTGACAAGCTTTTCCTGATTGAAAAACTAACTAAAGAGAAATGAACAGCAACAACAAAAGATTACAAGAAAGAGGTCATTAGCAATATTGCGAGGAAGATGAATCCCCCTGCAATATAGTTGTATCAGCAGATACATCAAAAGAACATGCAAACCATGTGGTAACAGAGACCAAGTAAGTGTTGCAGCCTAAGAAACATGTAAATATAATACCTGCTCCTGTTGCTTATGTCATTCACTCCTACACATAATGAATCTTTTGAAAAACTCAGAGCAATTTCTAGCTCTGTAAACAGTAACAGTATAAATTACAAATGAAACTCCAGAAATTCAAGTATGCAAAGCTTTATAGATAAAGTGTTATTAAACAAAATGAAAGGAAGAGTCGATACTGAAGTATGTTTTAGAGGTACTGTTTATTCACTGAATACAGTTCAAACATTTGTTTCACTAATGATATGTTGCTATTTAAAAACCTGTGGAACATGAGTCTTATCAAATTCAATATGGTTAACGTAGAATTCTGACTTAACCCTTTTGCTGTGGGTACCTCTTTAAACACAGGTAATAAATTAGTATATATATTAAATTATGATCTTACTTACTGAAACATAAACAAGCCAAATTATACAGCTTCACACTGCCCAGGAAAAGTGCAATAAGCAACAGAAAAATAATCAGTGTAAGTGGAGGTAGTTGAAACCATGCTGGTAAGGTTCAAAATCAGAAATAAGGAAAAACCTTTTAACCCTTTCACGATGGGTACCCCCTTTAAACCATTTTCTACACAAGTCACTGTGTTACATTAAAAGTTTAATTAAACACCTTTACTATCAATTTATGTGAATTCAATTAAAATTATAGTGTATGTTATGATTTGAAGTTTTATGTTATCTGAGTACAAGTCCTTTACTTCAAAAGAAACCTTAAAAAAAAACTACTTAAAACTTCAAATGCATTGTCACGTGACCAATGAGCTATGAAAATGCTACCTTGGCACTCTGTATCTTCAATACAACAATGATAGTACTTAGAGGTAGGTCTAGACAATAAAATGCTTACATAACCTTTTGACTCATACATTTCATATTTCTCTGAATGAATGCAGTTGAAACAAGTAATAAATTTTTTCAACTCCTAACAGGTACCACTCCCACCTTCAACAGATTTGTTTGAGTTTTATAGCCTACGTAGACGTTACATAAACATGTGTATAGTCATTAGAAAGAACACACTTTACACAATAATCTCACAATCATTATATTAAAATTGGCATGCAGTTTTCATCACGGAGTACATGTAACTGACTGTAGTATTGTTGGCTGCTTGATCAACTAAAGCACTTACGGTTGTATCTTACCTCAATATGTTATAATTAGAGATACAGTTAATTTGTATTTAGGTCTTACTTTTATATTTTAGTTAATTATGTATTAATTATGTTTCAAATGCATAATTGAAAGGTTTAGGCAGTTTTTAAATATACACCATTCTTTGCAACAGTTCTCAAGACTTAAGATATTACACAGTGAACGAAAATTTTTCCAAAGGGTTGCATGTCTCCCAGAGACACCATAATATGCCTCAAGGGCACCACTAACTTGTGTTGAGATAAATAACAAGTGATAAAGGACAAGAAAAACAAATAAAACATAAAAATTTAACTATATGTGAAAAATTATGAATATAATCAAAACAACATCTGTAAAGATATTCTCAAAAAATTAAAAGGCATCTATTTTTTTTCTATTTCCTAATTTTAATTATTTCATTGCATTATACATTGATGGTAATAGCTTAAGTTAGTGATATGGTAGAGAAAATGAAAAATAAAATGTAAACGTTTACCTTAAAATAACTTTGACATTCATTTATGAAGCTCTAGAGGTTATGCAAATGAAATATGAAAACTATAAGATGAAGAAAAGTATTTTTATACTTAAAATGAAAATGACCTTGTACTCGAACTATTTTAACAGTTTGAGTGCAAATAACTATTATAAGTAAATATATTTTTTATTAGAAAGATGTAATTAAAATAATGCATTCTTTGTGTACAAAATATTTATAAACTTGAACAAATCTTTCAAGGAACACACACATTTACTGTACTTTTATTGCATAAACACCCTTCCTTAGTCGAACAGATGGTAATCATGTCCACCCGTGCTTAAATGGTTAACCATCAAACTGTGTGAAAGACTCGCATTTGTCTTAAATAAGTGCTTATATATGAATATAGACATATCTGGCATTGATAGTGACTCTGAATCTGTAGCACATAGTATATAATGTTGTGGAGAATCCTGTTTTATTCTTCTGACAGCGTAAGCTCTCTGACATAGCACAAAGGGTTAACCCTCTCCAGATGGGTCAAAGGACTTGCCATCACGTTTGTTGGAATTGCATTAAACATTTTATTGAACTACTATTTCATGAATTTATGTTAATAAGTTTCATATCAAACTGTAGATTATAATTCAAATTTTAGTATTATACATTACTTAATTTCTTAATTTAAAATTAAATATTAAAAAACACAGTTAAACATCAATTTTTGTGTGTCATGTGGTATGTTGAATGCAGCACTGGTTCAAATTAGATGTTTGTGAAGTCAAAATACTAAGTCTGTAGTTTCATATGAATTAGGAGCTCAAATTACAGATATTGACAAGCTAGAACATAAAATAAGAACCTCATATCTTTTCTATTTGTTAAATATCGTTCATGTACTAAATCAAACACAGTGGCCCCGCTTACCTCTTTCATTTTTGGAAACGGTCCCTTATATACACTTACTTCAATATATGACAAGTGAATAACCAATCAAAAGCTCAGAATGTCTGCCTAGTGGCCTTCTCAGCCATTTTCATGTGTTAGGATGCCATCTCATTCTTTCGAACCAAGATTTCAAGGAGGTAGGTTATGTCTTTAGTCTGCTCAACATTTCTTATTTTTTTAGACCCAAATACAGCTTAGTTACTAAGCTTGATAAATTATAGTGAAATTCTATGGTTAAATCTTATTGTAGACCAAGTTCACCCTATGATGAACAGTTTTTCCCAAACAGAGCTAGTCTGTTTCAGGAAGATAATGTACCAATTCCTACTACTGAAATAGTTAAAGATTGGCTCAAAAAACAAAATGAAGAGACTGGCCTCCACAACCATCAGATTTAAGTGTTATTGACTATCTGTAGTCAATTCTTGAAATTAGTTTTGAAGCAGATATCTACCACCATTAACATGGTAAAAAAATATCATTGTCTGATGTACAACTTCTTGTTTCATTAATTCACATACAATTAATGCTGTGGTAGACCAATTACATATTAATAAACAAAATGTAGAAATTAACAGATGTTCTAACTCCTGTATGTCAGTGCTTTAACTCTTTCAGCACGAGCTCGATCCCTGGGACTGACCTTGTAACCATTTTATGCTTGTTATAGTTTTCATGCTATAACTTTTAAATTAGTAAGTGTATGTTAATGAAATTTGGCAGATTATCAATGCTTCATATGCAAAATATCAATTTTTTTTATTAAGTCTTAAGGTTTGTTAAGCAATGTTTTTCTCATGCCATTTTTTTCTTTTTGCATGTTCCCTATCCAACATGCAAA